CTTTATGAAGATCTTTTTTCAAGTTGCAGCTCTTCTTATATGTTTGACTTGTAAAGACAAACTTGAATGGAATAAAGAAGCCAAAGTATTATTTGTTGCTTTGAAGAAGGAATCTATTTCTACACCAACTTTGTATTGTATTGACTTTTCAAAGAAACTTTTTATAGAAATAGATACATCAAACTTCACCTTGAGTATAATATTGTCACAAATAGAAATAGATGATAAACTCCATCTAGTAGTTTTTTATTCTAAGAAATTTTTAGTAGGCAAGATTAACTATGACATCTATGACAAAGAACTTCTTATAATTGTAGATTTAATCCAAGAATGGCATCATTATCTAAAAAATACTTCAAGTCTAGTCTTAATAAATACAAATCATAAGAACCTCAAGTGTTTCATATTGGTATGTATTTTAAATTATCACCAATCCTATTGAAGCATGTCATTATCAAGATTTGATTTCAAGATCATATATCAACATGAAAAACAACAAGGTTTATCAGATATTCTTTTTAGACACTCTTATCTTGCACCAAAAGAAGAGGATGTATCTTTTGATTAGCAAAGAACAATTCTCTTCAAGCCAAAGCATTTTCATCTTTTAGCAATGAAATCAATATTGACCATTGATTCAATATTTCTCAAATAAATTCAATCAAGTATATCCTCTAATCCTCTTGCTCATTGTATCAAGAATCTTTCTTTTAAGTCTCATGATGTTTTGAAGTTCAAATTCAAAAAAAAACTATTTTATTTCAAATAATGTCTATATGTTCCAGAGTGAGAAGTACATTTACGTATTCTTAAAGCATGTCATGACTTTCAAGCAACAAGATATTTTGGATATAATAAGACTTTAGAGCTTATATCTAGAGATTTTTGGTGGCTACAAATGTAGAAGGTAATAATAGACTTTTTTCAGTCATGTGACATTTGTTCAAGATCAAAAATTCCTCATCATCAATCTTATGAACTTCTCCAACCATTGCCTATATTCGAACGACCATGGTCTTCTATTTCTACCAATTTTATTAAAAATCTTTTAAGTTTAAGTTTATATGATTTTATATTCGTAATTATAGATTGCTTCATTAAAATGGCACATTTTGTATCATGTATAAAATCTATTTTAGGTGAAGAAAGAACCAAGCTTTTCATTAATAATATCTATCACTATCATGGATTGTCAAAGGATATTATATCAGATTGGAAGATTCAATTTGAATTAAGATTTTAAAGAACCCTATTCAAGATTCTAAAGGTGGATATTAAACTCTCTTTGACTTTTCATCTTCAAATTTATGGACAAATGGAATAGATGAATCAAGTTCTGGAGTAGTATTTGACGTGTACCATCAAGTATCATCAAGATGATTAAAAAACTCTTTTATCATTGATAAAGTTTGCATACAATAATTTAGTACATTCTTCTATTCAATAAATATCTTTCTTTGTCAATTATAGTTATCATCCATGATTTGATACTTTTGACTTTTTAAAAGTTGATAATCCTTCGACGGAAGATTTAGCAAGCTTTTTGTCAGAGCTACATATAATAATGAAGACCCATTTAAAGAAGCTTAACATCAACAAAAGACCAATGTGGATGCCTATTGCAAAGAGTAACCACAATTCAATGTAGATGAAAAGGTATGATTACTTTGTTGCAATATCAAGACTACTCGTCTTTGTGATAAGTTGGACTATTGTAACTTGTAACCTTTTCTTATTTATAAACAAATCAATCATGTTGCTTATCGATTACATCTACTAGAGTATATGAAGATCCATCCTATATTTCACATGTCTCTTCTCGAGCTATATAAGATAGTGAATATTTTAGGAAGAAGATAAATGCCACCTCAAAAGAGGATAATGATCAAGAGTTTGAGGTAGAAGAAATCTTAGATTCAAGATAGTGCTAATATATATTAAAAAATCTTATTCATTGGTGTAGATATGATATTAATGAATACACATAGGAGCCAACAAAGAATCTTACAAATACAACAAAGAATGTTGAAGCCTTTCATTAATAATATCTATAAAAATCAAAATAAAGAATTACAAGTTCCATAAAAGATGATGATTGCTCCTCGTGAAACTTGTCCCTAAAAGAGGGAATAATATCATAGACATATACATTTATCTCAATAGTTACTTATATGATTAGATAGAAGTAGATAAATATAGATTAATTTCATAAAGACTTTTAGAAAAGCTTTCCAGAAGCTTCATAGATGCAGTTTTGATTTTAGATATGTTTGTAGGTTAGAAACTTGGTCAACAAGTTAACCACATATTGGTAGCTTGTGGAACAAGTTAACTCTATGTAATAGCTTGTAGAACAAATTAACTATGTGGTACATAAATAGATAGCTTGCCATGCAAGTTAAGACATGTGGCTAGCAAAATCAACACATGTTGGAAGTCCTATAGAATATTGCCATGTAGCTCCTAATTAGAGAGTATATATGGATGCAAGAGTGAAGCCTTCTTTAGTCTTGTCAATGCCTTTCTAGTCGTTAGTCTTGTTCCAAGACTTTCTACTCTTTTTGTTTTTGGCAATAGGCATTCTAATTCAATATTATATCATCTTTGAATGACTTTCTAGTTCCTTTTAGTGATACAAGAGTGTATTAAGGATTTTCTTTCCTCAAGATTATATACCAATATTAATTAATTTATATTTTATATAATTTTAATGGATATTTTAGAATTTATTATTTTAAATAATAATTTAAAATTGAATCCTTTGAACATACAAACTATTGTAGATTTTTACAACCTTAAGAATTGTACTTGATGTTTAATAATTTTTAAAATTTCCACATCATTGTTATAAAACTTTTCTTAAGTTGTTGTTTTTTTTACAACATTGACTTCCAAAATCAAATTAAAATAAAGTAAAGATATAAAAACAACATTTGAAGGTTTAAAAATAATTTTTATCTCAACTCCTACTTTATGTTGTCATGATTTTTCAAAGCAATATTTCATTGAAACAAATACACCAAACTTTGCATTAGATGCAATTCTATTATAAATAAATGTAAATAATAGATTTCATCCAATTGCCTCTCATTTAAGAAAATTCTTAGTATCTAAGATTAATTACAAGATATATACAACAAAGAACTTGTTATTGTGGATTAATTCCAAAAATGGTATTACTACCTTAAAAGTATTATTTATTCAATTAAAATTTATATCAATCATAAGAATCTTGAATATTTTATTTCAATATCTGGCTTAAATTTTTGCAAATTTTATTGAAGAATACCTTTGTCATGATTTTTATTTAATATTATATATATTTTCAAAAAAAAATGTCATATATAATTAACAACAAACTATTCTTTTGAAAGTAGAGCAATTACATCTTTGAGCCATTAAATTAATAGCTTCTAACTAATATTACTTTTTTTAATAAAATTTGATTAAATGTATTAATAAATATTTTTATTTTAAAACTAAAAATAGCCTTTATGATGATTCCAAAAAAATTGAAGTTGAAGACAATCTTCTTCACTGTAGAAGAAATTTGTATATTCCAAAGATCAAGCAGAATTATATATACTACAAGCATGGCATGACTTTCCAACAACTTAACACTTTAGATATTACAAAACATTGATGATTATTTCAAGACATTTTTAATAACTTCAAATGTGGATAGAGGTCAAAGAATTTGTTCAATTCTATGACACTTGTTCTAGAGCAAAGACTCCATATGGACTTCTTCAATCTTTATATAATCTAAAATAACATTGATCATTTTTTTTAATAAATTTTATTATAAATTTTTATGAATATTCTTTAAAGATGATTCTATTCTATATTAATTTTTTATAAAATATTGAAAATTCTACAAAAAAAATTAAAAAGAAAATATCCCCTATCAATCAATATGTGTAGATAGGAATTTATTTTTGGTACAAATAATAGTCTTGTCTATCCCAATTATTTTGGATGTAATAAAAATCAAAAAAACCTATATAGTTGTACTTGGATCTTTATAGTATTTCTTTTTTTGATATGTGCTTTGTTATATGGAATATATGACTTTGTTTTTAACTCTTATATTTTCCTATTAATATATATTTTTTGGTGGTCTCTTATTTCCACTTCTATACTACTTCTTACTGTCCTCTCATTCAATATTGTCACTCCATGGCATACTTTGTCAATATATGGATCTATGCTTACAAAATCTTAATCTTTAAACCAAATTTATGTTCTCTTTAGTTTCAATTCAATTTATTAGTACTATTTTTTACATTTGATTACATCTTACATACTATCTATAATGTGATCATACTAAGAGATCTACATGAAGATGCTTTTGTACAACTTATACTTTGTTTGAAAGCTTATCTCCTATAAGAAATTACCTTTTATATATAACAAAGTCAAACATAGCACATTAATAAATCCAACATAAAAAAGTAGTCTTTTGAAATCCAACCCCTACCTTATCCATTTTTATATTACCAAAAACTTTGTTCAATTCTTCCACTTTCAAACAAGTTATTTACATAGATGTTTTTTAAAAGCATGAAGAGTAAGTTTTTGAAAAAAAATAATGTTTATAAATTTCCATTCATTATCATTATTGTTTACAAAAAGTAAAGTTTATTATTATTTTTATTATTATTATTGGATAACATTCTTTTAAAAATTATAAAAATATAGATATCTGTAAATATCCAAATTGTAAAAACACTGTTGTGATTCATTATGATTGAACATTCAGCTAAAATTGATTTCAAAATGACTTCAGCAAGAACTAGTGTGCAATTGAGGTCTTGTAATTTGTGAAACTTCCTTTAAGATATGCCGCTGAGAAAATCATAAAGCCAATTTAGTATTGTTGAATGTGTCTGGATCATTTTCAGTTACAGATGGAAAGAATCCTTTTAACATATCCGACGTCATGAAATATTATCTTAGTACACACGACATATTCATCATGCAGTACAAGTACATTGCAGTAAGCAAATGCAACAGTAGGTTAGAAATTAGATGCTTGTACTGTTCTCCTCAATCAGATCACATTGTACAAAACATTCCTTACTTTCCATGTCCCCATCGAAGATTCAAGTGAAATATCACTCCTATAATCATTTTTTTCGTTACAAGCACACCATCTTCAACATCTCCTGTTCCTTACCCCAGTTCCCACATAACTATTCACGATAAAATACATATCTCATCTCAAACAGAAACTGCTTCAGAAATTTGGATAGATTTGCAATGAAAAGAATTCTGTTCGTTACTTGAATACTACTTTTTTTGTTCTTGGTAGAAGACAACTTTCCCCTCCGACGCAACCTTCGATTTTTCTCTGCCTTAAGCAATCATTACTTGTCCTTTTTCCTCATTAACCCCATTCTGTTCACTTCCATTAGGTTGCTCTTCCTCAATTGGTCTCATCCTCTTGGACACACAGTTTTGTTCTTTAGGCACACCATCAATGCCATTCACACGGGCAGTTGCGTCACCTACTTTGTTCTTAAGCCCATTAGGTGGGGCTTTGCTAGGATCTTCCTCAGACTTCTGTGATGTAATGGGGGTATGACTGGACTTCCAACCGACAAAGTCATCCGTCATCTCAGAGAAAAGAGGGTAGGAACAGTTTGATAAAACGTCAATGGCACAGCCTCAAGTCTTTTGACACCTGAAACGATACAAATGGACGGTCGGTATGGTCAGTATTCACATAAGGTTCATTGCAAAATGAATATCTACCTGACAATAGAGGGTGACAGTAGGTTCAAAACGGCTACGTTTGGGACTGCTCATTGATGCTAATCTGGCCAAAAAAGATGCAAAATAAGAAAAACATGGGTCTTACTTCTTCTGTAAAGATTGTGGTGACTGAAATGCTAATTACCGTAGTCTTCGCTCTTACAGTCAAATCTGTTTGCAATGATACCACAAATCTGCAATACCTCAAGTACATATGGTTTCAGGAATTATCGGCATGTATCATGCAATTCCCAATGCCTATTAAAGTAGGCTGATATCACATCCCTATCTATCTTCGAAAATCAACAAAACTCCAGTTACATCACATTTTATCGTAAGTACATGTCTACTAGATACAACGGCAACTACTGACCCGAGACATACTAATACTCAAAGGGCTCTCGGATACGTGAACAAACTCTTAACCTGGAAAGGATGGAACAGTAATTCACCTGGAAACCGCTGAGCAATAATGGTTCCACAATGTCTCTATCTCCCGCGGGGAACTCTCTGCAAATGAGAAACTAACAGATCAATTCTATGCCAAGAAACCCTAAAAGCAGAAAAACATAATGGCCGTGTAAACTATGGCTTCCATAAGACAAACATATTATGGCATTGAGGAATATGCTCTTACCCAGGGCATTGGACTTTGCAGTGTCTGCTCCAAAGGGCATAAACGGATCAGCACCACGCATTGTCTATATCTGAAGAGGTAATGGCACTAGAAGCCTGTCAAAATCACATCTTGAACAAATATCGTATCCAAACAAACCTACCCAACTAGATTCTCAACAGACGAATCGAGAGACTTCCAATCATCTGTGCTTGCCAACGTTTTCACACCTTCAGAACTTGCCATGATTAAATAGAAGAGAACCCAAAAACAAGACCAAAAATCAAAGCCAGTAACTAATTGCGAAGCTGCCTCGGTAAGAGAATACTATACTATGAAGAAAACCTCGTTCTAATCATCCGTTTGGAGCAACTCATCCGATGAACAAGCTGGTTTATGGAGGAATGTCGACGCAAAAGATTGTGGATCATAGCTATTACTACAAGAGCACCGGAGCAGACAATGCCAATCAACCAAGCTTTTTGGCAAATACAGCTGCCATTAAGCCGGAATGTGAGTTGATTTCAAACAGGTATCTATCAACTGCAAGACATCAGCAAATCATCATTCTATACAACACATACACAAGTTATCCACATTCTCCGCATTTTCAACTACGAGGTCAGATTCACGTGGTTACTTGAATACATAAAAAACATGAGAAAGTAATCTTAATATATTCAGGCAATGCATATTTACAATACTAAAGAAATATGATTGGAACCAAACCTAAAAAAACGTGCTCGATGCTTGGCAACCAATATAAATGGCTTAAGCAGAGCATAGAGTTTATTGTAAAAATCAGGGCTCTAAGCCATGGGTGGTCAAAACACAAACAATTCCCGCTAATCCCGCATGCAAAGAATATTCAAAATCACAAATTTCGCAAAATTCACAAAATTCACAAATTAAAACAAAAAAAAATCCTGGAGATCATCAAAACAATAGATTATAAAAATCATTGAACGCATAACCCGCTTCATACTGAATACCGAATTATGCAAAGAGAAGAAAATAAATGAAGGGAACAAATTACTCGATGCCGCCAGAATATCGACTGCTTGACAGACTCTGACAAAATTAGCCGATTAACACACCGAGAGAAAACATAGATGCATACTGGTCAAGGAAAAAGTCCTCACCTTGTAGATTTCAAATTTCAAACGGAAACCTCAAGAAAGCAAGCCAAGCTTCACTGACTCGCGTGCGTTGCTTCTTCTGATCCTTGTAGTGCTGCTCAACACCTTCCGACAATTAGACACTGTGCGGCAGAAAACCATCCAGCTGCTATTGACAACAAAAAACCTAATCTGCATAACATCCATTTCATTTTCCTAATAAACGGTAATGTGCAAAAATCCCACCTGAGAAACTTCACCAGACACTTTCCCCGTAAGTTGGTGGCACCAACTACAGAACCTACAAGAGAAAATTTGATCAAGACCAGACGAAATATCCTTAAGGATAATAACTAAGGGTACAATATACTTCCTCTGACAAATTCTCAAACCACCTTTAAGAAATACACATTTTGGGAATTCGACCAAATTTCAGATAGAAGTAAATGGCAATCAGTTCACGAATACCCACCTGCAGAAAAACTCCAGACTCCAGTACAATCCTCCTGAGAAAATGTTGGCAAGTTGATTAAAACGTCGTAAACATTACTCGCCATACAATACACGCTGAAACGAGCCCAAAACAGATGGTATTAAAAACCGGGACATCTTAATAGATCGTCCCAGGAGACTTCTTCTGTTTCCATGCCCTCGATGCCATTTGACCATAGACTTCAAATATTTGAACAATGTTGACGAACCTGCATTCCTTCAAACTCGACCAAAAATGTATGACCACCACTAAAGAACGTAAAATATCGAGCACTACCTACTGAAATTATGAAGGTTATGGTCTTCATCATCACAAGAGGACGCATGCCCTGCACGTATGAAAACAGCTGAATGTCATCTTCGAAAAGGAAAACAACGCCCAGCAATTCAGAAATCTGCTCGCTGGTAGCAAGATTGGTGAACTTTGCATCTCGAATAGAAGTTTAAAATTGGTGGTGGGGTTAGAGGAGACGTTCACCAGTATCTTTTTGGGAAAGCATTCTCACAATAATCTTCTCCATGTTAGAATATGTGTAGTAACTGCAAAAATTAAGCACCATTGAGAAGTTCCAAAAGAAAACCATAGAGGCTAATACAGTGATCAACTAAAACGAAGAAGAAAGCATCGCATCAAAAATACCCCATAACGAAATAACTTATACATGGACTGAGGATGTTAGTCAAGCAGGAAACCAAGAAATGCCATGTAATTAATGGTCTTACTTGCAAACCGTAGAATGAAATTTCGAGCACAACGTCTGCAGTGCTTACCAGACATCTAAATACTTGAAGTAATCTGATACGAGAACCGAAAGAAGCCCACTGTTGAAAGCTTTCGAAAATACCTGAAAAGGAGTGATTCAGGCCCTAGTTCATAAGGAGATACCTCTTGCTGAGACTTGTGATCATGGTTTCTCCCATCCATACGTGTAGAAAAAGCAATTTCGCAATGTAGTTGTTGTCCAAAACTTCAACAGCTCTCAGACATGCAAATCTCCGATAAAAACCTCGAAAATAACTTCACATATACATCCAAAACAAGATAGAGTACGCGAACAGACTGATGAGATTGATGCAAACACAATAGGTAAAAGTTAACTTTGACCATTGCATGTACATTATAATACCAACTCATGTTGTTCATGTTGTTCACGTCGTTCATGTTGTGCATTCAAAGACTAAATGTTTGAAAATATTATGAATGCATTAAATTCACAATTTCATTGAATCCACAATTAAATGGTATAGAATTGATCAGCCGTTATAATACCTAATGTAAGTTTGGGCAAACCTGGAAAAGAAAAAAAAAACAAAAATGTAACCCAATTCTAACACAAGCTAAATTAAAATCCCCCATCAAGTTAAAAAAATATGACGGTGAGGGGTAATGGACCCACATTTCTCTATATCGTGTTAAATGCGACGATCTGAAGAATTAAACTCCGGTCGCAGTACTCTTGCTCCTGCTCACCTTACACAACTCCCGCCCACAAATCCAAGCCCTAGAATTGCTGCATGGAACAGCTGCAGATCACGGCCGACGTGGCACTTCCAGCCGCCAACAACACGTTGCGGCGGGAATCTCCAAATTGAAGTCATCGTCGAAGAAGCGCCGTAAACCCGTAACACAGTCCTCAGATAGGTCTCACTTTGTGAAGGCTTCACAATTGGGTCAACCTACGTGGACTCAGGAGGATGGAGAACCAATCAAGCAATCTCTGAGATAACTCACCAGGAAAACCAACTTATCGTGCATAACGAAGAGAGCACATGGAATTCCAGCCGGATCTTCTCAAATTCCTCCCACGTTCTTCACAGGACTTTCCCGGAAGTGCACACCGCCGCATCCCTCACTACACCACGTTCACCGCATCCCGAATCACTTCGAATGGCGAGATTCCAAGCGTAATGCAGGGACAGATTATAAGCCACTTTCCTGAACTCCCATCCGCAGTCGTTGAAGAATAACTTGTTCACCTCCTTCGTACCTGTGTCAGGTGGGGAAGGGCGCCCATGAATCTCGCCTTCAGCGCTCGAATGGCTGTTTGGAACAATGTTTCGTCGTCCTTGAGATATTGGTTGTAGATCTCCAAGCAGTTCCTCTGTCGCTTCAGTTTCTCCTCAGGTGAGACCTTCCGGAGGGTGTTCACAATGCGTTTGATCTCCGTGGTGGGGAATTGAATTGCGCAAGTATACCATGGTATTAGACTGTCGAAAGGCTTCACGTAGTTGTCTGCTATCAGCACGGGAATCGACCCTGCTGCGAGTACCTCGATGAATCTGTACGAGGATGGTTGCCTTCCTGCAGGCACCAGCGCGAAAGTCGTGTTCATGAGGTCCTCGTAACTGTTGTGCTTCTTCCAAACTTCCTTGTCTTCGTCGCAACCTTCGCCCAGCTCGGGATGTTCTCTTCGGTGGTAATCGTTTGTAGCATGGTCGCAATTCGTTGCAACAATGACGTCGTTCCCATTGTGCATTTCCCTAAATTCCTTGGAACTCCGAAATATTCCATCGTCCGTGAGACCTATATACCGTTTGCCTCTGAATGTCAACAAATACTTCCTCTGTAGAGGACTGATTGGTTGAAGCTGTCGCATGTGATAATTCCCCGGCAAGGGGATGCTAATGTCGAACCCGGGACGTAACATGGTCTCCTGCATGTCACTAGCCATGATCGAGGCATTCCCTATCTTCTCGTCCGTCGGCGCTAGTCTCCTGTACTTGTCCGAAAATGTCAGCACAATGTGATTCATTCCTCCGTTCCAATACGGCAATTCCTCCACTTTCTGGAAATGCCAGGGATCGATGTTGTCAAATGGGACGAGGAACAGGCACGCCTTCTCTGGGTCGTCGGTGTGGTACTTCGACTCATTGATGCGGAGGAAGTATCTCTGAGGCTCTAGACCCGGCTTGTAGTATGTGTAGATCAGAAGCTCGTCAGCATTGTCACATCTGGAGTAATCAAAACACGAATCCATCGAACAGAGAGGTAAGGACGCTGGGTAATGCCAACTCCTGTTCTTCGCGTACCACGGCGTCTTGGGACACTCCTGGACCACCTCCTTCGCGACGATTTGCGGTACTGGCTCGGGGCATTCTTTCCCAATCTCTTTGATGACCTCCTTCTCGATGATCCGCGCGTCGTTGGTGCAGACAGGACAGTCCTGTGCTACCTCTTTGATGACTTTTCTGTCGACGAACTGAATCTCTTTATCAGTTTTGGGGCACTCAAGCGTGACGTTTGAACTTGTCTCGGCGTGATCCAGACATTCGCAGTACAAAGAAGGAGGGGACGGATGCAGGGGATCGTGAGACCCTTGCGGAAAGAACACAGTGCAGTTACAGTTTCCGGGGGGTACGGAGAGGGTGTAAGGCGCGGTGAAAGGTAACCCGGGGGCAATCGACTCTTGAGGGCAGGATTGCGAGGCGATATTGCCATATAGTAACGTCACAATGATGGAAATCACCACGAGCGCGATGAATGGGATGATAATCCCCATCCTGCGCTGTAGCGGAGGCAATGTTGGACTCGAGGACACCATCCCTACACCTCGTGTCAAATCGCAAATAAAGCAACCAGAAAACAGCCAAAAACACCAGAACCCAAGCGTTCAACTGGAACACAAACTCGCAGCCTCACAAACAGCCCCGATCTGTCATGGTGCAAGAATCAGTAACTCCCTTCGCTCCGACGCAGTGGAGAAGACACCAGAATGGAGAGAAAACTTGGCCCCAGGCGATGAGGAATGCCACAACCCTGCATGTGAGGTGCATTGTAATCGAGACCAGGATCAAGTTCTCTCGCACCCCCAACGAATTACCCGATCTCGAACTTCCGTAGCCAGATTAAAAAGATTGATTTAGCTTAATCAGAGCGTGCCACGTTTCAATTAAGCTAAAAGGAAAATAAACGAGCACCATACCGATTAATCGAAGCCCCCAGCCGATTCCGTAATGGACGGAACACCCTACGAGGAGCCTCGTCATTACATGTCGCAGTCATCTCTCCCTTCAATCGACTGGCTCCGCCATCTTGGGCCGTCGGATCGCAGATGCCGCTCCGATGCAATCTCAACCGCTGCTTAGATTTCTGGGAACGGAAGGAGGGAACGTAGGAGAACCAGAGGGGGGCGGGCAGGTTGGAGGCCGGGCAGTTGGAAGGCGGTAGGTTGGAAGGCGGTAGGTTGGGATGGGTGCTGAATTTTGTTCAGGGGCTACCTCTCAGTCCCAATTTTCAACCAGCACTCTTGCTTCGAACATTTTTCTTTTTTTGTTGTCATATACAACAGCATTCAATGCACATGATACTTTTATTTCCAAGAAGAACTCTTGCAACTCACAAATTTTTTAGTTGGTATTAAAAATAAACATGTATATATACATATATATATATATATATATATATATACTATTTAAAAACCTCAAAGGAAGGAAATAAAATAATACAATTGAAGAAAAAAATAAGATTTTATGTTTGCATATATACATAATACAAGTCGAAAAAGTTTCTAGGTTGCAATTAATGGAATTTTTTTCAAGTAATATATATATATATATAAATATATATATATAGTTTTTATGCATTCTATAATAAAATTACATTAAATTTATAATAAAAGAATTTTATATTTTGTAAAAAAATATTTAAAAATAAATAAAATTAAACATATATTTTTTTAAAAAAAATTGAGAAAACTGCAAATCTTTTGACTTTACAATTATGACATTGTCTTGTTTCGCCCTTCGATAAAACAAATATTTTACCCATTTGCATGTGTATTTATGCATGTGTACGTTTTGTTTTATATTGAAGTAGGAGCTATGTGCGATTGGTTCCAAGCTTATTACTAATTTAAGGTTATTACTAATTTAAAGGTCTACGATGTGCCGAGGTGAGGTCTGGTAAGAGGCATTTTGGTTGTTTATTATTTCTGTCCTTTTGTTTTGGTTTGGCACAAATGGTTATTTCTATCCTTTTAAAAGTTCCTCGAGCTATGCACGAAGTCTACTCTTGACCCCTTTTGATGTTAACCTAGCCAATCTGAATTCTTTGCTGTATCCCGGAGACTGCTTCTCTACTGCCTCCGATAAGTGGTGCTGGAGCCTTTTCTGAACAGCTCGTGGGTTTTGCTAATTTCGGTTTTAATGAGTATTTCATCAGTTTAATGAAGGATCTTTTCCAAGTGTGATGAATGTTTTTGCAAGCACTGCTTTCTGGACTTACTTGCATGCACTAATCTCTATTTGTCTCGATTTGTTTTCATCTCCGAGTGGCATTACTTTCGTTCGGGATGCCGACAATGTTGTTAGTGAAACTATTTTGGGGCGCTACCAGGAAAGTCAACGGTACGGTGTGCCGAAGCTAGTTCGAATCAAATTTCATCTACGGAAAAACTGTGAAAACGGGACAGTGCATGCAGAGTTCCTGTTCGAAGTCACAGTTCTGCAACGATTATCTTCATCGCGAGTATCTAGAGCTCCCCAACATTTGCCAAGGTACCGACATGCACTTAGCAAGCTTCTTATGGACCTGATAATCATTTACGAGTTTAGTATGCTTACAAGGTGAAAGGCATAACGTGTCAAAGGTTGCAAGGAGTTGAGGGAAGAAACAACCATGTATGTTATTGTGATAATTGATGATAAATGCTGAAGTTAGATGGTAACATCAGCAAGGATCACAACATACAATGAGAATGTTATTAACATTGATCTATAAGCTAGGGCACACGGTGAATGCAAATGCAAATTGGAAATACCGATCATGAAGTATAGAAGCCACATCTAATTTTACAACCAATTGGAGGAACGAATATTGCACTTTACTGATAACTTGCACTGTACACCTGTTGTACCAAGCAGAGTTAAAAAGATGGCGATGGAGCAATGTGGGTCCATGTAACCCTCTGAACAGTAAAGCTATGCTCATTTTTCCTCTTCCCCTGCTTACTCGACACATAGCGTGCCTACAAAATCTTAACCCTTAAAACAGTTCTCAGATGAGTCTCACTTCGTGAACGCTTCACAATTGGGTCAACCTACGTGGACTCAGGAGGATGGAGTATCCATCAAGCAATCTCTGATATAACTCACCAGGAAAACCAACTTATTATGCAAAACGAAGAGAGCACGTGGAATTCCAGCTGGAACTTTTCAAATTCCTCCCACGTTCTTCACAGGGCTTTCCCGGAAGTGTACACCGCCGCATCCCTCACTACACCACGTCCACCACGTCCACTGCATCCCGGATCACTTCGGATGGCGAGATTCCAAGCGTAATACAGAGACCGTTTATGAGCCACTTTTCCGAACTTCCATCCGCAGTCGTTGCAGAACATCTTGTTCACTTCCTACGGCCCTGTGTCAGGTGGGGAAGGGTGCCCATGAATCTGGCCTTCAGCCCTCGAATGGCGGTTTTGATCAAGGTTTCTACCTCCAAACCCCTGCTGAGTCCCACGATGCAGCTCTTCCTACAGATTTAGTATTAGTGTCTGATGCACCGCAACAGTTTCCCTACCGATCAGGATTGATTGAATGACGCTTCCCAAGGTAAAGCTGGGGTAGAGCTGTCTCTCCATCCCGCTAACTAACGCTCCTCTATGTTGTCAATCTTGTAATTGAATTTAGTCTTTTTTCTTTTTTCTTTTTTTTTTAAAAAAAGAAAATAAATAGCTTTAGAAAGAAGTTTGTTATTTGCTCCTATTTGTGACAACATTGCACTTAAGACTAAGTCTAATATGTCTATTTTCATAAAAAAATACCTTCAAAAAGTTGATGCAATATAAAATTGTTTTAAAAGAAAAGATTGTATTGAAAGCTTCAATTACCGCTTCAACTTATTGATTCCATTTAAGATTGTCTTTATAAGTCAAATGTATAACTAGAACTATAATTTCAAAAAAATCTTGATAAAGATTTAATAATAATTAACAAATCCTAAAAAAATATTAGGCATTCATTTTTCTTTTTAAAATCTTTCAATTTATGATAATTTGAACTTTTTCAGCATCTATCATAAGATCTTCATTTGAAATGATGTATCTTAAGATATCAACTTGAGCTGTGTAAAATACATCTTATCCATTTTAAATTATAGTCTTGCATCTCTAAGTTTTTATAATATATGATATATATAAAGTACATATTTTTTTTAAAATAGATTAAAGTATTGTCTAAATAATAAACAATAAAATCATCTATTTTAAAAATAAATATCATTCATTAAATGCTAAAAATAAATTGGTATATTTTTCAAGCCAAAAGATACGATATTATATTTAAAATATCCATATTTAATTAAAAATATAATCTTTTATTCAACTAATTTATTAATGTATATCAAATTATATGCTTCTTATAGATCTATTTTTATATAGATCTTTTTTTGATTTAATTTATCAAAAGATCTTGATATTAAAGATAGAAAATACATATTTTTTATAGAAATTTTATTAAGTCTTTAATAAGCTATATATTTATAAGGATTTTTTTTATTTTTATTTTTTTTACAAATAGAATATGCACTTGAATTAGAATATAGTTTAAAGGGTGTATACAGATCATAAGAGCTTCAAGTACTTTATGTTGACACATATTTTGAATCATCGCCAAGTTCATTAGAGCATATCATTATTAAGATTTCATTTCAAGATCACTTTTCTATTCAAAAAACAAGAGGGTTTACAAATGCCTTTTCTAAACATTATTATTTTGTATCAAAAGAAAAAAATACAACTTTTGATCAATAAAGAATGATTTTCTTGAAATCGAAGCATTTTTATCTTTGAGTAATAAAATCAACATTGATTGTTGATTCAACGTTTGTTAAGCAAATTCAATCAAATACGTCCTTTGATTCTCTTATTTATGATATTAAGAATACTTCTTATAAGTTTCATGATACTTCTAAATTCAAGTTCAAAAACAACCTATTCTATTTTGAAAATCATTTATATGTTTTAGAAGAAGAAGTAAGTTTACATATTCTTCAAGCACATCATGACTTTTTTGCAATAAGAAATTTTGGATACAACAATACTTTAAAATTTTGAATACAATAAGTTAATATTCAAAGATTTTTTTTTGGCTGCAAATGCTAAAAGATGTAAAAGAGTTTGTACAATTATGTGACATTTCTTTAAGATCAAAAACTCCTTGTCATCAACCCTAAAGATTTCTTCAATCATTGCCTACATCAAAATAATCATAGTATACTATTTCTATAGATTTTATTACAAATCTTTCAAGTTCAAGTTCATATGATTCTATATTTGTAATCATAGATTGCTTTACCAAAATGATACATTTTATATTATGTACAAAATTTATTTCACGTAAAGAAACAATTAAGCTTTTCTTTGACAATATCCATCACAATCATAGATTACTCAAGTATATTATATTAGATACAAAGACTCAATTTGTATCAAGATTTTAGATAATACTTTTCAAGATTTTAAAGGTGGATATAAAGCTCTCTTTGACTTTCCATCCTCAAATCGAATAAGTGAATCAAGTTCTAGAGCAATATTTAAGATGTACCATCAACTATCATCAAGATGATAGTTGGATAATTCTTTTATTATTAGCAAAATTTACATAAAATAATTTGATACATTTTTCTACTCAAAAATCACCTTTTTTTTCCAATTATAATTATCATTTATAACTTAATACTTTTGGCTTTTCAAAAGATGATAAACTTGTAGCAAAAGATTTGGTAAATCATTTGTTAGAGCTACATGCAACAATGAGGGCATAGTTAATAGATACTGAAGAATAACAAAAGATCAATGCAAATGCCTATTGTAAAGAATAACCATAATTCAACTTAGGTGACATAGTATGAATATTTTGTTACAATATCAAGATTATT